ACTTCGCTCACGTATGCTATCAACAAAGCCTGGTATAATATTAAACATAGTCAGGCATTCAATGCCTTTGGACTAAACCTTTTACAAATAAATGGTATCCGGAAGACGAAAACGTTCAAGCCGAGCTTTACGGATGCACAACTGAAGTTTCATAAGCGTTGGTGGATAGGCATTTCTTCGCAAAGCTGGTAGATGGGTTATCGTTGCTTAGCATATTCGGTTGCAAAGTACATAATAGATACTTTCGAAAACGACGGTAATGTTCTTGTGCAAACTTTCTGAATATTCAAAAATAAGTTTATTAAATATTTTATGTTAATATCAACGAAATGCCTGTAGAAGACTATCTCCTTGTTGTATACATCAAATTCTCAATTAGACACAATAACAGTTGACAAAGAGTTGGAAAAGTGATGCAAGGATAACGGTTTGCATCCGATCAACGTCTCGGAATATTATTTGTAAATAAGTGCAAGCCTTTATAGAGTCCTACTATAATTTCCGCTTCTACCACATCCGCTAAGAAATAATTCAATAAAGATTTTGTTGGTTTTTTTTTAAATCCAATTCGGGAACTTCCTCGACAGTGTCGTGATAGTAATAGTAGGTGAAAATTTCCTCCCCACATCCATTCGTGATGACGACCAATGACAGTTCGTGTTTGCTTAAATAAGCATAATACCTCTCACGCAAACTCTTCTCTAAAGTTACACGGCTTATAATTCGTGCAACAGTATTAGTATGGAGGTTCAAATGCTGGTTCTCAATTAGACAAATTTGCAGGTGATATCATTCAGCAAAATCCAAAATTGACCCTCGACTTATTTCTTGTCTTTGTTATCTGTGACCTATGCGTTAGATTCTGAGACGGATACACGCAAATTACTTCTCATCTTATAGCTTGGTGGTATAAACCGCGGGAATTTTATCGACTCTACCTCTCCTCGCTAAAAGATAATTATAATTTCGCAATCACCTTCCTCAATGATAATTAAAGCTTCACAAGAGATGAAAATGGTTATTAAAGAAGAGATAAATTTAGATACAAATGATATCCAAACTAAATATTGCTAAAGAGATTGCACAAAGTCGAGGAGGTGAGTGTCTCTCTGAAAAATACATTAATAGCAAGGCCCCGATGCTTTGGAATTGTACTAAAGGTCCACAAAAATGAGGAAGACTTTGAGAAACTTTGCGATGAAAATTGGATTGTTTTAAGATATGTCTGGTATTACGAAGACCCATATATAGTTATTCCGGAGCATCTTCGAGAATTGAATAATGTTATTATTATTTTTTTGATCAGCAATATATAGACCTCACGGGTCAACTTTATTAATAGCAGAAAACTATACGTGAAGAAATAACGCGATCATATATAAACATGCAAAGATTGACATAATGCAGTATTAACATACCATAAACGCCTTTTTTCTACGAGTTTAGAGTCATCACTAATAATTTGGCTTGCTAGAGGATCTTTCCAAGTCAATTTTGAATAGATAGAGTATTCACGGCCGAATATAGATGCTGACCAAGGGGTGTTGTATCTTTTCTGAGTTTGTCCTCCAGCTCAGTTAATTTGATCGGAGCTGAGAGGGCTCTCCTTGTTTGTTTTAATTGCTCCCATGTCGTATAATAAAAATGTCGATTACTTTACTTGTTTGACATCATGTTGATCATACACAACTCATCTAATAACCCATGCTCAGGTTGAATCCATTAATATTAAGAGATGAAATGCTGAAGGCGCTGGAGAAAGTTACTACTGTCAGTGGCGAAAAGCGAGGATTTGGATCCTCCTGTGCAAAAGAAGAAAGCTATGGCTAAAAAGATTATCATTTAAGCATGGCATGAATATAGTGAAGAATCAACCAAATTAAAGCTAATTTGTTTTATTCTTTAACGTGGCATTTATTTATCATAGCATTTACTTAGCTTTTGTTATTCCTTTCAATACAAATGATAAAAGTAGAGAATAAATCATATAATAATTGATAATTCCAAAGAAGATTATTTGGAGTGTGTATAATAATAAATATGAATAGCTTTGAATGTCTAAAATTCACCTGGTGATAAGACAAGAGGTGATTGTGAGAACACACAATAAGCATGCTGCCCACTTTTTTTTGATAACCTATGCAAGTCCACCCAGGTATTAAGATGCTTGGTATTGGTATGTAATAATACATTTTAACACATAAGAGGACTACTACATATATAGTATAATAAACACAGTTGTTTATGGGTTTGAATCACCGTTACGTGATATCAGCGAGTCGCAATCATGAGTGCGGAATTTCAGTAAGATTTGACCAGACCAGTGTGCTTGGTTATTTGTGGCGCGCTAATGGAGTATAATTTGCGGTTGCTGATAACGACCGCTTCTTTCACATCTATCCTTCCTGATCAGTGATAAGATAATGTCCTCCAGCTTCATTAATATACTTCATTGGTAATCCCGGCATTCATTGTGATAAGCTTTCCTATATGAATTTGCTTTCTTTGATTAACAATTGGAATTTTTTGGGGGTTAACACAAATTAAGAATCGATTTTGGAAAAAATTAACTCAGAAACTGCCTTCTATTTTAAATTTCTGGCACTTTATCGTGGTCGCTTTAAAGAAATTCCGCCTTCCCATCTGATGGAAAGGTAAATCCGCCTCACCTTACACCAATTTCCCAATCTGTCACAGGCCCCACATGAGGGAAGCAATGAGAAGCTAAAATAGAAATTGTCCGATTATTCGAAATTATATAAACACGTCAAACCCCCGACCGACAATATTAGAATTTTTGTCCGATAACATGGATTACAAACCACGTATTGCAATCATTGGCGCTGGTATGATCGAAAAGAGAGAATCTCTGATTTTACATAAATGGGATTTTCCACAGAAACATTCACGTTCTTTTCATGCTTAAGGTGTTACTGGTTTGACTGCCATTAAGCAATGTTTAGTTGCTGAATTGGAACCAATCTGCTTCGAACAGACAGCTCAGACCGGCGGATTATGGAGATACACTGAAATCACCGACGAAAATCAGAATCCTCATTCTTCTGTATATCGCAGTACCGTCATCAACACAAGTAAAGAACATGTATGTAGTTGTTAATTGATTACATTGGGCTTTTTTTAACAGTCTTAGGCTTATCATTTATCTTTTGACTCCCCAGATGACATTTTCTGATTTTCCAATTCCAGAAGATTGGCCACCATTTCTTCCGCACTATAAAGTAGCCGAGTAAATACTATTAAAGATTTACATACATGCATGCGTTGTTATTGACGATACCGATCCTAGGACTAATTGCATACTCTCTCCAAGGTACTATGACATGTATGCAGATAAATTCAGGCTATGGCCGCATATCAGATTTAATACAACCGTATTGAGTGCGTCTATGATCCCAGAGACAAAGAA